AATTTTGTTGAATAGCAAGAGAGAAAGAACGAATTCAACATCTGAGAATACATAATATTTGTAAAACATATTTAGTTAATATATTATGAATATGTAAGAGTTTGTAAGTTTTACTATGCATATGCAATATGTATTTTTCATACAAAATTATATTTTACTTTATTTATTTAGTTTTTTTTTTTTTTTTTTTTTTTTTTTTTTTTGTATATTAACACAGCTAACATTAACATTCTAGTTATAAATGAACATTTCTAATTAGTTAGAGTTAATAATTAGAATTAACATTTCCAATTATTAAATATTATTTTGGATATTTGGATGAATTCGTACATCTCGCTGTGCAAGAAAATTAGTTTATGGCAAATATTTTCAATTCTAGGCTTATGAAATAGAATCAAATGGGAAATATATTACCTTTACAGATATATCCATTTCAGAAAGCTATTTTAGGTCGTATAAATTTAAAGCTCTTCAGTTGCAATGATCAACATAGAACCTCTGCCTACCTTCATAATTTTACAAACAGCCAACGCTTGAAGACGCTTAGCCCCTTTTCATTTGCTAAAACGCTGGGACTTCCCTCTACAATGTGGAACCTCATTCTCTATATCATCTAGGAGTTGGTATGAAACGTGGTGAGATTCATTTTCATGAGACCCGTTTGACTAGTGTGAAAAAAAATATTGAGAATCCGGCTCTCATCAGGCAATTAGCCCTGGAGACTATCGATGAGATCCCAAAATCTTCTTTAAAGATATCCGCTGATAGCAGTAAAAATGAGGGAATTTCTGGCAGTGGAGTGTTCATACCAACTTGTACTGCTTCTGTTGAATTTAAGATATGAAGTCCCGACTTTTGTTCGGTTTTTAGATCAGATTTTATTGCTATTAGGAGAGGCTTATAATACGCGTACCAAATTGAGAAACAATTACGTAGTATCTGGATTCGGCACTATTCGGTTTCGAGGGCCGTAAAAAATCGCCAAACTATTGTTGATGCCAATGCTGCCAAAAGTAATTGCAGCAACCCTAATAATTGCGGCAAGAAAGGAAGTATAATAGTAAATAGCTATCTAAAATTGATGTTTTAATTTAAATGAAAGGTTAATATCATATAATATATTTTTATTATTATGATTTATATGAAAAAGGCTAAACATGAACTGAATGGAAGCATAATTTCAGATCATCATTATAATTTATATAAAAATTGCTAAACATAACTGAATGGATGCCTGCATCGCTATTTCGCTACCGACTTATCGCTAAAGCATAATTTCATCTCGTTGGTTGTTCAAACGTAATTTTCTATAATGAATGATGTCTTTTCTTTGAAAAAATTCTCGGTAAAGTGCAGAATCGTCCACTTATTTGTTTGCCGCTTTTTACAAGGGTAAAAACAATTGGATTTTTGTCAATTTTTTTTAAACTTTTTAAGTGAAAATAGGTCGATGTGTACATAGATAATGTCAAGGGTGTGCGCAGTGCCATTTTTGTGCAATTCTAGGATTTTTTTTTAAGTGCAAATAGGTCGATGTGCACATGGATACCGAGTATATGCAGTTCTTAAAAACGCGTCAAGCAGTGGATGATTCTGCACTTTACCCAAAATTCCATTGCCGACTTTTCGCCATGGGCAATTTCCAAATTAAATCCATACGATATCAAAAAAAGGATTTAAAAATTAAACTAGTATTTTAATGGCGTCTTAAGAAATATAGAACTATATAAATTTACGCAATCTGAAATCAGCGCGTACGCTATATTTGGCACGCTGTTAAGTGGGCGCGTTTGCTAGATTTGGCGCTTTTGCGCATACATTTTTGCTGCAGTTTTTTACGGCCCTCAAAACAGAATAGTACCATGGATTCTTATTTATAATCGTGCTTCAATTCATCACCTATCTAATTGGACACTGATAGGAGACAAGGCAAGCCTGTATAACTTAGATCACCTTGTCTGGCTTTCTTCTGGACACTCTATCAATTTTTCTGTGGATTCCATCTCATGTTGGGATCGACGGAAATGAAACAGGCTACTACCTGGCCAGGACTGCTGCAGTGGATGGGGAAGGCTTTTTTGGGGCTCTCACATATAGCGAAACCTCCTGCCTTAGAGAGATATAATTAAACCAACTTGAAAGGATTCCTTATAATCACCTGTGGTATTTTGGAAGAAGCCCAGGCAGGTTTTTTTCAGCTATCGCCTAGAAAATATCAGACGGCCTTTTCGCGCTTCATGAGTGGCCATATTAGAGCACTCACATTTCAGCAGGTACAGAAGATCTTCCCCATCATTGGTGTAAGGCTGACATGGTCACCGAATTTTAACCAAGACGAGGTCCTTCAGAAATCTATTGTGTTTAGACTTTTTAGGTATTTTTGGATTTGTGGAGATTGTCTAACTTTGCTGGACAATTTGGGATTAGACATTGGACAAACAACAACAGTATTTTATTTGTAATGTGTAAATATATTAACGTAAATATGCTTTTATTTTTCCTCTTATTATTACGTTTAATAAGTATTCACTTGAGTCGCTTCCAGAACTGCGACTTCTTATGTAGGGTGCCTTTCTCATAGGTCTTGACAGCCAGTGAAAAAAACGGGGGGGGGGAACATTTTTAATGCAAGTTTCAGACATAAAATGCTTATCTTTGGAGGAGCGAAGGAAAAAAAGAGAAAGCAAATATTTCAGTTTTATAGGACGGCGAAATGGTTAAGTTCAGCTGTTAACTTTAGTTGAGTAACCTTCGTAAAAGTATTGCTATCCCCATGAACCACGATATTGTTTTATGATGCATCGTTCTAATTAATATTCCTATTATATTATCAAATAGAGGGTGAAGATCAGTGCTGTATTAGTAGCAGTTTTTATGTTTTACTTTTTTTTCTCATGGAATATTTAGCTTTTTGATATAATTTTAATTTTTTTTTTATTTTAGTCTTGAATAAACATAGTAATTTTTAAATTGTAAATATTATTCATAAATTTATTAAAAATCTAATTTAATCTAAGTTATAATATGTATTTAATTATTTATTATAATTATATTATTTCAAACATATATTTTTCAGCGACCTTAAAAATTTTACCGCCATGGGCCCCCAATTGGTTTAACCCGCCCAAAGAGCTTCTGGGCGGCATTACCTTATTCCTTAGGAATGCGGGAACGCTTTTCGATCGTTACGATAACATTATAAAAACGATAATCAAAATGTCCGCTGAGTAGCAATAAATGACGAAAATGTTGCTAAGGGCAAAGAAGTCTAGGCATCAGAGAGCTTCCAGGACAATGGGCAGGTAATGAAAGAAAAATGTGGAGTCATGATCGACGATCAGAGGCTGTAGCAGCAGGAAGGAGGTAGAGATGAACATGGGGAGTGCGTACTCCAGGTGGAAGTTGGAATTCGAGTGACATCACGTGAAGACAGTTGATTTTTGTTTGACCGTAGAACGTTACATATCTGCTGATATTCCATGTTCGTCGGCAAGGGCGTAGCTAGAGGGGGGAAAGGTGGGCATCCGACCCCGGGCGCAGAATCCAAGGGGCGCCAAACTGATGTTACGCCATTTTAGAATTAAATGTTTTCCATCCTTGGCAAGCAATAGGTGGCGCGAAATCATCAGTTGTCCCTGGGCGCTGAAAAACCTAGCTACGACTCTGCTCGTCGGCTGAGGAGAGCAAAATGAAGCAGTAAGAAAAAAAAATAAATAAATAAAATAAAGATTAATTAAAAATTCAGCAAAAAATAAACTAATACTTGGATAAGTTAAACAAAAATTAATGATAATTTGTGCAACTATCAATAAAAAGTGGAGATTAATGCAGATTCCGAAGAACTGCATGGAGCCTTTTTCTGTTTGCTGCAGAATTAATGTTATAGCTAAGGATGGGAATACTCGGATTATTAACTTTTCCTAACTAATTCTTGTAAAATTTCCTTGAAATTTTTACGATGAAATCAGTTGTGGTTGGAATATTGATTTTTTTCTGGATTGCAGCATTCCTGTTGTGGCAGGGCAGTTGATAATTTGCCTGATAGTTGCGTTCTGCTGCTGCTCGATTTTGATTAAATTAGAATGACTGAGCTAATAGACAATTATAATAATTAGAGTAAATATGCACATTATTAACTTATAAGACCCAGAGTAAGGCTAACGGGGTTCCACCATAAATATTGGTTCTAAAAAGGGCTCCGCCGTAGAAATTGAGCCTAAAAAGGGCTCCGCGAGTCAAAAAGATTGGGAACCAATGACATAAAGCCGTGATTATCATAAAAAGTTCATTCATAAACTTTCACTGAATACTAAAGGTAATAAGAAACAAAGCAATACACTTTTGAAGTCTTCTTTTTTAGTGTTATAGATGAATAGTTTACAAACACACAAAAAGCTATCTAAATATTTGAAATGAGGCTTTTTCATCCCGATTTAAGAGCCTTATTTCAAATTTTAATCAAATATTCAATATTCATTCCAAATATTGAAATATTTAACTAATTGCAAAAATTTCATAGAGTTTTTTTTAATCCGAAGTGTAGATTGCTTTTTGTTATGTTGTTCTTAAAAATGCGTTCGTTTTGGAAACATAAAAAGAAGAGAAGTGAAGGCGCTGTTTTGATTTAAAGAACCGTATCTCGGAGTTGTAGAGTGTTGTGAAAAGAGCTGAATAATTTTGATGTTTACGTAACTTTGCGACCAGACATAATCTCTATCTGTAAATTTTGTTTTAATAACGAGCATTTATTTCATAATATACTGTGATATTTATTTACTTCTAGTTTTGTGATCGCTTGTATGTGTGTATTAAAAAATAATACATGCGTGATTGTAGGCTCAAGCAACTTCTGATTAATGTTTCTTGATATTTAATTGTACGATTATTGCTCTTGTAAGTTATAATATAAGTAAACCAAAGCTTTTAATAAAACTAGTAATTTTTTTGCATACTGAGCAGTTTTCTTCCTACACTGAAATATTATATTTATTACATTTCAGATAAATTTGAAAATGTGAAATTTAATAGGTAAGTACATTTCTTTGTATTGACATGCTATGTTTCATAACTGCAATTAAAAATGACAATATTTAAGCTATGTCTTCTGTGAATTAAAAGTTGCATGTTATAATAGTAATTTTTCTTTTTTTTTTTTTTTCCCAAAACAATATCAGCTTATTTTTTATGTAAAAAAGTTTAAAGTATCCTCTTACCTAATATTTAAAATGTAATCGATCAAGAAGTTAATATTGTTTCTTTCCAAGCTGTACTAAAAATTTTGTATTTTGTGAATGTTAATGAATGTTAGTGAATGTTAGGAAAGGTATTTTTAAAAAGTAGTAAATACATTATTTTTTAGAGTGATGCAGTTTTTATAGAAGTCTCCTGTCTTTTCATTTTTTTCTTATTGTTTTGACAGTTCTTAGATGTAAGATAACGTGGAGTAGTCCTAGTTACTTAAAAAAATAATCAACCCTAAAAAAAATCGTGAGGTATATTGAACCATAAATACTGACAATAAAAGAAATTAAGTTATTAAATTTATGTGAAAACTTGGAACTGATGCATTATTGTGTATGCTCATTAAAATTCAGGTTCTTGAAATGGACTAAGAATGCATACTGCAGTTGTAATTACAAAATTTACTTTGTGGTTAAATTGTGAAAATATTGCATGAAAGTAGTTTTTAGGTTAGAGAATTATAATAAATAATGTCTGAAGCATAAATACATAATAATGTATAGGAGCTCTGGCCAGGACTTATTACAGTAATCTAGATCTCATGAATATGAGATGTAAATTGGTATAACTATGGAAGTATTTTAATATAGTAAAAGGAAAAGTTAGAATTACATTTAATGAGTGAGTCAGTTTATAATTGAAACAATAATGGGAGAAAAAATAACACTTCATATTTTTGTAAAATGTGAAAGAAAAAAGATGTGTGCTGTTTTGTAGAAATGTAGAAACAGGTTGCAGGTTTAAAAAAGGGTTGATCTTTACAATATGGTAACTGGTAGTTTGGCGACATTTTGGAGGCGATAAAGGTTACTACCTGGGACTTTGGTAATAATGTGAGCAGTACTCAGTTCCGATTCCGCATTATTTGTGTGAGGGAATGAGAGATCATGGGATATGTCATGTTGATTAATGGACGAATTATGGTTCTTTAATCGGAAAAAAAAGGGGGGAAATCAGGAAAAAATGTGGAATTTTGTATTTAGCTCTATCTGTGTGTGTGTGAAACATGTGTTTAATTTTGGATCCCATGGCCTAACTAAAGTGAATTCGAAATGGGGTATTTAGGCATTGTGAAAAGAGAAGTTTGCTTTTTATTTAGCGGAGGAGTATGGAGGAAAAATTCGCAGAAAAAATCTTTCAATAATTTTATTGAAGGAATTAGAAAAGGTATCCGCCATGTAATCAAGATCTGAGAAGATTAGGTAAGTTAGTATTTTTAATTATTGAGGATATTATTTTTATGCATTGTTCTAATGTAAGGTGGAAAGAATTTGGTATATTGGGAAAATTGTTATTAGCAATGATTAGTTTAAGTAATTAGGATTGTAAGGTAATTTTTATAATTAATGTATGTGCTCATTTATATTTTAAGTAGTGTTTTGAATTTAATTATATTTTAATGAAATGATAGTTATTTTGTGATTTTATGTTGTAGGAATTTGGTATACGTTAAGTTGAAATAAACGTGCATGAAATAATTTAAATATTTGATACTAAGTATTTGTATGCTTGCGGTATGAATCGTTGGTGAGTGTATAATGTAATAGATGATTTAGAGGTACAAGTGTTGGATATTTTATTTATTTTATATGTGGAAATGTTCACATTTGTAAAGGGTAAATACTTTTTCGCGATCAGGTAATTTCATATATGTTCTTTTTACCGGGTTTTTTAAGATTGAGAAAATTGTCAGTATTTCCGTGAAATTTTTCTAATTTATGAAAAAAAAGCAGTGTAATGGATATAGTGAAGAGTGTGCGCAATGCCATTTTGTGCAATTCTGGGATGTTTTTTTTTTTAAGTAAAAAAAGTCGGCGTGTACATGGTTTATGTGTATGTGTTATTTGAAAAACACGTAAGGAGTATGGTATTGTGCACTTTTCCCAATTTTGCAGTGAATATTTGTCATGATTAAGCATTTTTGTTTGATAAAATTTCTAGCAAAGTGTAATCGGCTACTAGATTGTTGAAGAAGTGTTCAGTAATAAAAAGAAAAGAAACATGTCTTTACTTCTGAAGACAAAATGGCGGCGGGGAAAAAAAAATAGAGGGTTGCTGTAGGAGAGTTGGTTGCCAAATTTTCGCCAAAAAATCGCCAAGTTACCATAATGTAAAGATCAAGCGAAAAAAGTCCCCCCCCCATCTTCAAATAATAAATTTTGACATAATGAATAATTAAATGATCATAGCAAGGTAAAGGATTTTTGATTATCTTAAAAAAGTTTTAGGATGTTTATCTTGATTTTAGTAGAAAAGGGCAATGCAGAATTATCATGGAATTCTGTAATTAGGGATTAACCCAGCTGACAGTAAAATTTTTGTTTGATCTTTGGATTATGGTAACTTGGGGATTTTTTAGCAAAAATTTGGCGACTAACGCTGCTACAGCAACCCTCTATTCCCCCTATATATCTCCTGAGGTAGTAACCTTAATCGCCTCCAAAATGTCGCCAAACTACCTGTTACCATATTCCAAAGATGAGCCAAATTTTTGTTTATGTACGTTCTTTTATATTAGTGCCATTTGATTTGTTGTTCATGTATTGATATTAAACTGTAGAGTAGTACAAGTCACAATATATTGTTGTTTTTACTAGTGGCTGAGTGGTTTTTTTTTAAATTGCTGAATATTTGGAGTTTGACCTGTGTTTGATCCCAAATAAACAGGCTGGCTGCATGGTTGGTTCTCATGGTTTCCTCATGTATAATTTGGGAACGATGTGCCAGATTCACCATATTGACAAAAAAAAATATCATTGATTGAAGTTAGTTTGCGAAAAAAGCTGTTTTTTTTCCCGCAGACTTGTTAGATTTAAAGTGCAAAATGTAAAGAAAAAAATAATTAAAACAGTGTGAAAATTACTGCACTTACCATTCAAAAAAGAGTGTGTGTGTGATTATGGCAAAGCCTTGAGGGCTACTTGCCTAAGAGGAGGGTTGCCTTCGTGGAGGACTTTCCAAGGGAAACTGGCTCGCATACACGTTACACATGGGGAAAACCACAGGTCTTACACGCACGCGTATGTGCCTATGCGCATGCGTCAACGTGACGCATGCGCAGAAAGTTTGTGCTTTGAGGTCCGGATTATAGATCATTTCGGATTATGAGTGTCCGAATTAACGACTTTTGACTGTATTTCATCTCAATGTACTCCGTCTTTGATATGATTTGGTTAAACTTTGGATTATGGTAAATTAGGCAATTTTTTGGGGAAAAATTGGCAACCAACTCTGCTACAGCAACCTTCTATTTTTTTTTTCGCCGCCATTTTGTCTTCACAAAGTAGGACATGGTCTTTTTTTTATTTACTCAACACTTTTCCAACATCTGCTAGCTGATTACACTTATGCTAGAAATTTTATGGAACAAAACTGCTTAATCATGACAAATATTAACTGCAAAATTGGGAAAAAAGTGCAGAATCGCAAACTCCTTGCCACGTTTTTCAAAATCGCAGATACCAGTAACCATGTACACGTCGACTTATTTTTATTTAAAAAAACATCCCAGAATTGACAAAAATGGCATTGGGCACACTCTTGACTTATCCATTTACACTGCTATTTTCTCATAAATTATAAAAAATTTGCACACGAAAATGCAGGAAAATTTTGGGAATCTTTAAACTCGGTAAAAAGCACATATGGTAATAACCTGATCGCCAAAAGTATATCCCTATCCAAGGATGAACATTTTCACGATAATATAAATAAATATCCAAAAATTTTACCTCTAAATTATCTATTAAATGTCACCAACGAATTCATAGCAAAACATTAAAATGGTTACAAATACTTAGGTCAAAATTTAAATTATTCCATGCATGTTTACTTCCACTCAAACGTATACCAAATTGCTACAAACATATAATTCAAAATAACTATAATTTAATTAAAATATAATTAAACCATGTACACGTCGACTTATTTTTACTTAAAAAAACATCCCAGAATTGCACAAAAATGGCATTGCGTACACTCTTGACTTTATCCATCTAAACTGCTATTTTCTCATAAATTACAAAAATTTCACGAAAATGCATAAAAATTTTGTGAATCTTTAAATTTGGTAAAAAGGACATATATGAAATTACCTGATCGCGAAAAGTATATATCCTTTCCAAGGATGAACATTTGCAATTAAAATAAATAAAATATCCCAAAACTTTTCCCTCTAAATTATCTATTATAAACCTCACCTGCCAATTTATAACACAAATATTAAAAATGGTTCCAAATACTTAGTGTCAAATACTTAAATTTTTTCCATGCACATTTACTTCTACTCAAACGTATTCCAAAATACTACAAACATATAACTCTCAAAATCACGATCATTAAATTAAAATATAATTAAATTTAAAAACACTATTTAAAATATACAGTCAAAAGTCGTTAATTCGGACACTCATAATCCGGAATGATCTATAATCCGGACATCAAAACTACAAAGTTTCTGCACATGCGTCGCGTCGAGGCTTCGACACATTCGCGTAAGACGCTTTACGACTGCGAATATGCTTGTGCGCGTGCGCAAAATACGTTTACGAGTGCGCGTTTAATGTATAACGGACAGTATAAGCTAAGCTAAAATTATCTATTTCAGTTAATGTTGCAGATTGCGTTGTTCCTTAATCTTCGAATTGGATCCGGCTTATTATTTTTTGCAGAGTGTTAGAGCAATTTTATAAAAGTAAGCTTGAACTTTCGATTATGTCAAATAGAATTTCTGATATATATTTATTAATATGTAAAGGATCTACAAAGCGAAAGTATGTTTCAAAGTT